CTGGGCCCCAGCCTGGTGCCTGCGCGGGCCGTCGCTGCCTTCCAGGCGCAGGGCATGCGACCTGTTGGAGTGTGAAATTCTAGGGGCCAGGTTCTTCTCCCGAGCGGTTTTATTTCCCACTGGACAGTGCTGCGGGTCTCAGAGGCCCTCTTGTCCGCTCAGGGTGAGGACAGGTGAGAGGCCCGGGCCCGCGAGCTCTTGCAGAGGAGCTGACACGCAGAGGGGCTGCTGTCCAATAAACGAAAGTCTCGGGGAAAAACTTTGCAAGGCGATCTGCATTACTCCAAAGTGAACACTGCATGTCTCAGGGTGGCTGGAGGCGGCAAGGAGAATCCCCTTATGGGCGCATATGAGCTTTTCCGTGTGTGATCTCTTTTAAACCTCTCAGCGGCTCCGAGGCAAAACTCCCAGTGTCGCAGAGGTTTCTTCATCAATAAGAGGAGTGCTGGAGGATCTCGGGCACTGCCCTCATTTTGCCTGCGAAGGAAAAATTAGGAAGGGACAAAAAGTCACAAAAATTAGGAAGGTGGTGGGGTAGGGGGTAAGCAAATTCCAAGGGCATATCTCTGATGAAGGTTTGGTGTCTCCTGTGGTGCCCTACTGTGGATTAGTTGTTTGTGTCCTGGGTCCAGAAGTTTCTTTGGAGTCCATTGGCTACAGCTTTCCTGTATTAGAATTCTACTGTTATTTCCTATTGTAATCTGGCTGGGTATTTTACTTAGTTCAGATTCTAGATGCATTCAGTGAATGTAGCTGCTCAAGGAAGTAACTGATAGTGTCTTACCATTTTCTTAGCTACTTTTCGGGTGAAGGAACATGATCTCTAACAGAAGTTTTCTGGTAGATTACTAAAACAGGCAGATAGTAGCTTTCCTGGCTGGCTGAGTTAAATCCCTCTCCAGCGATCCTCCCACTTCAGCCTCCTAAGTAGCTGGGATTACAGGCATGAGCCAGCGCGCCTGGCAAATCTCTCTAGAATAAGCCAGGATCTAGAAAATAACATACGGAAAGAATATCTTGCCAGATTTCCTCTGTACTGCCTATTGCTCTTTGGTATTCACTAGACTGTCTTCTAATAAAAATCTCCTGAGTTGAGTTAAACGTAGTGTAGATTGGGGGCAGAGATGGGCACAAATGGGCATCAGAGAGTTCTAAAAATACATGTGGACTTTTTAAAAGATTGGTGTGTTGACTGGAGACTTCTGAACTTAGAGGAGCACATTTACTTTCCAGGGTATCACCTTCTTTGTCTTGTCTTTTCTTTTTTTTTTTTTTTTTTGAGTCATAGTCTCACTCTCTCACCCAGGCTGTGGTGCAGTGGCACCATTTAGGCTCGGTGCAACCTCTGCCTCCTGAGTTCAAGTGATTCTCGTGTTCAGCCTCTTGAATAAGCTGGGATTACAGACATGTGCCAACACACCCTACTAATTTTTGTATATTTTTGTTGCCCAGGCTGGTCTTGAACTCTTGAGCTCAAGCAGTCCGCCTCCACCATCTCCCAAAGTGCTGGGATTACAGGCATGGGCCAGCTTGCCCGGCCCAGGGTATCTCTTTCATACTGTAGAGCACTCTCTTGAGCCAAGCACACACAGGTTCCAAGTCCTTCACAGTCTTTGTTCTTAGAGATACAGAATAACATTAAGTGGTTGTCTTGCGACTTTTTGTACAAGTTAATGGCATTTAGCTCTTGAGAATTCTTTTTCTTCAAGTACCCATGACCCTGAAAAAAATGTTATGCTGTATAATACTTTTTTCTATAAAAGTTGTACATTGAGTTATTTGTATTTGTTTTTGTTTTTTGAGATGGAGTCTTGCTCTGTCGCCCGGGCTGGAGTGCAATGGCCAGATCTCAGCTTACTGCAACCTCTGCCTCCCGGGTTTACGCCATTCTCCTGCTTCAGCCTCCTAAGTGACTGGAACTACAGGTGCCCGCCACCACGCCCGGCTAATTTTTTGTATTTTTTAGTAGAGACAGGGTTTCACCGTGTTAGCTAGGATGGTCTTGGTCTCCTGACCTCATGATCCGCCCATCTCGGCCTCCCAAAGTGCTGGGATTACAGGCTTGAGCCACCGCGCCCGGCCGAGTTATTTGTATTTGTAAGAAATAACCTAGGCCAGTGTGGTGGCTCATGCCTGTAATCCCAGCACTTCGGGAGGCTGAGGCAGGCGGATCATGAGGTCAGGAGATCGAGACCATCCTGGCTAACACGGTGAAACACCATCTCTACTAAAAATACAAAAAATTAGCCCGATGTGGTGGCACATGCCTATAGTCCCAGCTACTCGGGAGGCTGAGGCAGGAGGATCGCTTGAACGTGGGAGGCGGAGGTTGCAGTGAGCCAAGATCACACCACTGCACTCCAGCCTGGGCAACAGAGTGAGATTCCATCCCCTCCGCCAAAAAAGAAATAACCTATATCAGATCTAGTGCCCCAGAGAATGGAAACTTCAGAGCCTTTGAGCAATGTGAATAAAATGAAAGCTGGAAGCTTAAAGTCTTAGCTCTGACTTGAATTTGTGGCTGCTTGAATGTGGGTATTTATTTTGTTTGTTATTGTATCTCAAGGACTTAGCCCAATGGTTGGCCCACAATAAGTGCTTAAAAAAAATCTGTCAAATGAGTGAATGAAAAAAAAAATGTTGTTAACCAATACTCATTTGTCACAGTCACATCACAGGAAAGGTGAGGTCATCAGGGATGAAGTCACTAACAACTGCCAGTTACCTGCCCCAAGGGTAGCCTCACCATGGACTGGCAGGCTTGTTCTGTGTAGAGAAGGGATGGATAGTGAATGCCAAAGTCAGTTCTAGCTGGATAAATTAGCCAAGGGTTTCAGCTGGATAAGTTGGCTGAGGGTGCTACAGGTCCAGCCTTAAGGCTGTCTCAGTGCAACATTTTGGAGTCCTGGAGTCATCTGTTCTGAATAGCACCCATACAGCTTTTTTGTTTTTAATTCTTGAGATGGAGTCTCACTCTGTTGCCCAAGCTGGAGTGCAGTGGCACAATCTCAGCTCACTGAAACCTCTGCCTCCCTGGTTTAAGTGATTCTCCTGCTTCAGCCTCCTGAGTAGCTGGGACTACAGGTACGTGCCACCACACCCGGCTAATTTTTTTATTTTTAGTAGAGATAGGGTTTTGCCATGTTGGTTAGGCTGGTCCTGAACTCTTGACCTCAGGTAATCCACCTACCTCAGTCTCCCAAAGTGTTGGGATTACAGGCGTGAGCCACCGTGCCTGGCCACACATAGCTTAATTCTTGAGCACAGTACAAATAGGGTGTACTTGTGGATTCAAAGGGAAGCATGTTGGATGAATATTTGCCAAGAAGGAATGGAGCACCTGATTTTGCTGTTGATTTGAACCTGACTCTAAGTGAGGTTGGACTGCCGTAAATCTTGTGTTTGTCATTCCTAGGTGGGTCATCTTCAACTATGATAGCTCACCTTCTCTAGACTTGAGTTAGGAGAATAGTTAATGTTGCAGTATTTAGGACTGATTCTGATTTTGGATTTAAAGGAAACAAAGGTGGTGTGTGTTTCCTATTTTTAATTTTTAAAAATTTTGTGTAGAAACTGGGGTCTTGTTATGTTGTCCAGGCTGGTCTCGAGTGCCTGGCCTGTTTTCTTTTGAATTTGCAGATGAAGTTATTAGGATTATTAAATCTTTTTATTTATTTATTTTTTTGAGACAGGGTCTCCCTCTGTTGCCCAGCCAATGGCATGATCATAGCTCACTGCAGCCTCAAACTCCTGGGCAATCAAGTGATTCTCCCTTCAGCCTCCCGGGTAGCTGGGACTATAGCTGTGTACCGCCTCACCCTGCTAATTTTTAAATTTTTTTTGTAAAGATGGGCTCTCACTTTGTTGCCCAGGCTGGGTCTCAAACTCCTGGCCTCAAGTGAACCTCTTGCCTTGGCTTCTCAAATTGCTAGGATTACAGGGGTGAGCCACTGTGCTCAACTGGATTACTAAATTTTTCTTTTTTTTTTTTTTTGAGATGGGGTGCTTGCTCTGTCACCCAGACTGGAGTGCAGTGGCACGATCTCGGCTCACTGCAACCTCCACCTCCCTGGTTCAAAAAATTCTCGGCCGGGTGCAGTGGCTCACGCCTGTAATCCCAGCACTTTGGGAGGCCGTGGCGGGCGGATCACGAGGTCAGGAGATCGAGACCATCCTGGCTAACACGGTGAAACCCCGTCTCTACTAAAAATACAAAAAATTAGCCGGGCGGGCCGGGTGGCGGGCGCCTGTAGTCCCAGCTGCTTGGAAGGCTGAGGTGGGAGAATGGTGTGAACCCAGGAGGCGGAGCTTGCAGTAAGCAGAGATTGCGCCACTGCACTCCAGCCTGGGCAACAGAGTGAGACTCCGTCTCAAAAAAAAAAAAAGAAAAAATTCTCCTGCCTCAGTCTCCTGAGTAGCTGGGACTACAGGCACATGCCACCACACCCAGCTAATTTTGTATTTTTAGTAGAGATTGGGTTTCACCATGTTGAACTCCTGACCTCAGGTGATCTGCCCACCTTGGCCTCCCAAAGGGATTACGGGCGTGAGCCACCACATCCAGCCGTCCAGCCTGGGTTACTAAATCTTTACAGATGTATCCTGACTCTCTCTGCCTTCTCCCTCTGTACTTGCCCCAACCAATGCAGGCCTGAGTGTTCCTTCCAGCATGTCGGAGGGGGAGTCCCAGACAGTACTCAGCAGTGGCTCAGACCCAAAGGTAGAATCCTCATCTTCAGCTCCTGGCCTGACATCAGTGTCACCTCCTGTGACCTCCACAACCTCAGCTGCTTCCCCAGAGGAAGAAGAAGAAAGTGAAGATGAGTCTGAGATTTTGGAAGAGTCGCCCTGTGGGCGCTGGCAGAAGAGGCGAGAAGAGGTAAGGTGATGGTACAGTCACTCTTGGGGGAGTGAATTCTGGAAAGGTGAGAACTGGAAGAGCGAAGTCTTAAAAGAGGCCGACCAAACTTCAATAGGTTGGGTGCTAGGAGGAGATGATCATATGGAGTGTTAAGATGGAGGATTTGCGAGATAACTTTAATTGTCTTTCATATGAATTTCTTCTCAGGTGAATCAACGGAATGTACCAGGTATTGACAGTGCATACCTGGCCATGGATACAGAGGAAGGTGTAGAGGTTGTGTGGAATGAGGTACAGTTCTCTGAGCGCAAGAACTACAAGCTGCAGGAGGTAGGTAATGCTGAAAAGGTGAAGCCTGGGGAATGTTGGAACACTGATGTTAGAGAGGAATTGGTATTGGGAAGCTGCCCATGAGGAGAGTATGTTGCGGTCAGTTCATTTCTGGGGAGGGACAGGGAATGGCTTCTCAGGATTATTATAGTGATTTATGAACTCTGTTATTCCACTGTCTCCCTTGCTCTCAGGAAAAGGTTCGTGCTGTGTTTGATAATCTGATTCAATTGGAGCATCTTAACATTGTTAAGTTTCACAAATATTGGGCTGACATTAAAGAGAACAAGGCCAGGGTAAGAATTTTTTCCCCATATTTCCTGAACTTACTGCAAAGAGACTAGCTACATTTATTATTGTTCGTTTTACACTCAGAGATTAAAACAAGGTAGTTTTGAAACAGAACTGGAATCAGCTGCAATGGTGATAAGAGTAGGGCTTCAGTTGTCACCTATGCCTTTTATATGGCTATAGATTGGGCAGAAAATGAGTGAACTTTTGCTTCCTTCTTCCCATAACTTTTATTGCTTAGTAGTTTTCATTGCCCTATGTAGTCTAAGTAAGTAAAGCTAAGAACAAAAGGAGAGAAATTTTAACAAACTTTCAAATTTAAAATCTGTTACAAGGGAAGGGATCATTTCTACTATAAGACCTTTTAGTAAATGCTTTGTCTCCCCAGGTCATTTTTATCACAGAATACATGTCATCTGGCAGTCTGAAGCAATTTCTGAAGAAGACCAAAAAGAACCACAAGACCATGAATGAAAAGGTATAGAAGGAGAACAGACAAAGTTTTAGGCTCGGGGTGGGGCAGGGCGGGGGCCTTAAAAATTACTGTGTTAATAATGAAGCTGATCAGGAAGGGATGGAAGGAGCTAGTGGGAGAGAGTTAAGAGAGGGAATTACTGCTGACCCTTGGATCAAACTTTGTTCCAGGCATGGAAGCGCTGGTGCACACAAATCCTCTCTGCCCTAAGGTAAGTAGTACCTGGTTAGTTTCTTACCCATATTTCCTGATTTAGTTCCTCCAAACAGATTTCAGGGCACTACTCTTCTGTTCTATTCTGCCTCTCCCCACTTTCTTTGAATCATATACTGTCAAGATTAGGCCCCCTACGGGTCTTTTAAAGGGTGCATCCTAATGCCCTAACTACAACACTTACCTCCTACCTCTTTCTCCTAGTGCTTATCCAGCTATTTAAATCATCAGGCATAATGGAGATTCAGAGTGTGGGGATTATCTTTATGGTGACCAGCAGGAGACCTGGCCCTTGCTCCTCTTAACCCTTGGGTTCCCCTTGCCCTTAATTTCCCAGTGGCCCCTCTAACAGCCCAGTGCCCCCACAGCTACCTGCACTCCTGTGACCCCCCCATCATCCATGGGAACCTGACCTGTGACACCATCTTCATCCAGCACAACGGACTCATCAAGATTGGCTCTGGTGAGGGGAGGGAGAGGTTCTGGGCAGGGGAGCCTCGGGAATTTGGGAACCATGGGGGTAAGATGAATGGGGGATAACAGAGCAAAATTCTGAGGTGTGGGCCGGTGAGAAGAGAAAGGACCTTGCTAGGAGTAATTCATAGGAGAGGCCAGTTAATTAGTGGAGAGGGGATAGGATATATAATCTTACACCTTTTTGAAAGGAAATTAGGGTCAATACAGAGATACTGATAGGAGGTTGGGAAAGGGCAAGAGATACGGGTTTGAGGTTTGATTTGAGCCCTGGGGCCAGACCCTGCCAGAGGAGGTTCCAGGCTGTGCCTGCTGTGAGTGCTTTCATTTGCTGTGTATTTGTGTGCAGTGTACAACATTTCTGTGTGCTGTGTCTGTGTGGTATTTGTGTGTCCATTTGTCTGGGGCTTGGCTGCTCCATGGCTCACAACTTTTCTCTGTTTTCCTCCCTCCCGCTTACGGGCTGCTCTGTTCCCAACAGTCTTTCATAGGATTTTTGCTAATGGTGAGAGCTCCCTCTGCCCCACTTGGGGCTCTGTTTGTGCTCCCTCTGCTCCCTTGGCGGCTGCCCAGTGCATGCAGTCGTGGGAGCAAACCCTCTTCCCCTATCTTCCCTGCCTAATTATGCCTGCTTAGCTTCTGCCCTGCCAGCCCTCCGCCTGCTTGCCCCTCCATAACCTGCTTGTTTCCTGTGGATTCTGCCTGGCTGGCCACTTACCTCCTGGATTCATGTTCCCCCTCATCATCAGGCTAGTTTCCCAGATCATACTGTGCTCCCAGATTCTCTGTGACTTGTAGTCATTGTTGATGATCTGAGTGAGTCCAAATTGGGCCTGGTCCTGGTTCCTCATTCAGCCCTGTGGCAGGCAGTGTTGAGGAATAAGGGGGTAGAATAGGAGTCTAAAAAGTTTTGGTGGATTGAAAGTGGAACTGATTCAAGGGTATTAGCTCAATTCTGAGCTCTTTTTGCGTTTCACTCAGCAAAGGTGGGTAAGAAGGAGGCTACCTCCTGAGTTGTATGTTAATACTTCTTATCCTTATTTATCCAAGTTCCTGAGGTCTCCAATTGTCCCAGATTAGGAAGGGCTGCCTGTGTTTTTATGTTATTTGCAGGGTGGATGAAAAAACTAAAACCAAATATTTTCATGTGAGTAGGGATTAGATGTACCTGGGATGTACTAGGGAAGGTGAACGGGGCACAAGTGAAAGTTTTTCCTTAAACTGCATTGCTTCTAGACCAGCCAGAAGTCCCTGTGTATCTGTTAATTTAGTCTGGTGCTTTTGTTGCTCCTGATTTAGGGACATTAGATAAGAAGCAGCAGGCCTAAGAAAGGGGAGGTAGGTGGCATCCATGTGTGGTCTATAGTTCAGGACGGGAAAGGGGATATGTTTGTGCCTGTTGAGGGTCATCAGAAAGGAGACTTCAGGAGAGAATTTGGCTTTTGGGGCCTCTCTCTAGAGTGAGACTATTCTTCGTTGATGGTGGTCAGATTGTGTGTGTCTCCCCTACTCCCAGTGGCTCCTGACACTATCAACAATCATGTGAAGACTTGTCGAGAAGAGCAGAAGAATCTACACTTCTTTGCACCAGAGTATGGAGGTGAGCCTTCCTACTTTCTCTGCCCTGTCCTCATCCCCCTGCTTTTGCACCTTATAACTTGAGGTACAGAGGCAATATAACTGAAATTTCTAGGCCTTCTCTACCAGCATACAAAATATTTTTTTCTTTTCTTTTTTTTTCCTAAGGCATTCCTGCCAACCCTAGCCCCTAATCCTCTGATTAACCAAAGCCTTCTCGGTTTTCCCTAGAAGTCACTAATGTGACAACAGCAGTGGACATCTACTCCTTCGGCATGTGTGCACTGGAGGTGAGGAGACTGGAGAGGAGGGGGGCAAGGGGTCAAATGAGAAGATGGAAGGGGGAATGGAGGGAGGACAAGTAAGGCGCTGGCTTGGAAGGAGTGATTGTGTGAGCACTGACATTCTTAGGTGTCTCCTTTTTTTTTATTCCTCCTCACTGAAGATGGCAGTGCTGGAGATTCAGGGCAATGGGGAGTCCTCATATGTGCCACAGGAAGCCATCAGCAGTGCCATCCAGCTTCTAGAAGACCCATTACAGAGGGTAAGGATCTTCAGGATCACTCCCTCCTCAACTGACCTTCAAATGTCTTCTGGTTTTTCTTCCTTTGTATCCACTGGGCATATCCTCCTAAGATCTAGGGAACATAAAACAGAAAGGACACGCAAAATCTGTAAACATTTTCTTAGGAGGTGCCTACCATGTTTTTGCATACATACACATAGGTTAAGGAGTTAAGATGGATGATACTGGGGTTCAAAGTTGTGTGTTGGCTGGGCGCAGTGGCTCACACCTGTAATCCCAGCACTTTGAGAGGCGGAGGCGGGCGGATCACTTGAGGTCAGGAGTTTGAGACCAGCCTGGCCAACGTGGTGAAACCCTGTCTCTACTAAAAATACAAAAACTAGGTGGGCGTGGTGGTGTGTGCCTATAGTCCCACCTAACTGGGAGGCTGAGGCAAGAGAAACGCTTGAACCTGGGAGGCGGAGGTTACAGTAAACCGAGATTGGGCACCTGCACTCCAGTCTGGGCAACAGAGTGAGACTGTCTCAAAAAAAAAAAAAGAAAGAAAAAAAATGTGTGTGAATTTAAATATGCCTACATGGAGGTAAATTAATTTGATGGTTACTTCAGGCAATTGCTGTATACTTTCAGACAGCCATTTTTATATTTTTAAGCACATCAGTCAATTTAAATTAAACCAGTTGTTTGGGATTTTATATTTATACAGTTTTAGTTAGGGATGGTGCCCTGAAATAATGAGCCAAGATTTAAAAGACATAAGGTTATGAATCAGTTGATAGACTATAGTAAGTAGAGCTTGGACAGGAAGGTCCAAACAAAAACAGTTTGTAACTCGTTAGATAAGTATAATAGGGAACAGGAGAGAAAAGAAGACTAGTGGGAAGTCAGGAGGATAGTGTGGAGTAAGTTTCTACTTCAACACTGAGGTGGAGTATTCAAGTGAAAGATTAGGTATGTGACCTTGTTAGCCTTCAAGGTTAAAAGCAGGAAAGCAGGTTAATTGTCATGGGACGTGCAGGAGGTAGAAAAGGAGGCGGTGGAGCATGGTGGCTCATACTTTTAATCCCAGCACTTTTGGAGGCTGAGGTGGGAGGATCACTCGAGCTCAGGAGTTCGAGACTAGCCTGGGCAACATAGCAAAAACCTATCTCTGTGAAAAAAATATAAAAATTAGCTGGGTGTGGTGGCACATGCGTGTGGTCCCAGCTACTCTGGAAGCTGAAGTGGGAGGATTGCTTGAGCCCAGGAGGTTGAAGCAGCAGTGAGCTGTGATTGTGCCACTATACTCCAGCCTGGGTGACACAGCAAGTCCCTGTCTCAGGAAAAAGAGAGAGAGAGAAAAAAAAAAGGCAGAATGGGTAGAGGAATCCTGGGAAATTGAGTGAATTCAATGATTGTGGGCAAAGGAAATTGTGATACTAGGCTTGTGAAATAAAAAAGATGGTGAATATTGATCACATTGGGTAAGTTTGGGAAGAGAGAAGCTAAATTTGGCAAGATTTAGAATAGAAGATAGGCAGTGCATTGGCTAATAAAGCAGAGGTAGAAACTAAGGAAAAAGAAAGTGTGAACATTAAAGAAAAAAGCAAGCTTGTGGTTGGAGAGCAGAAAAATAATTAAACCCAGAAAGGCAGTGGATGGTGTCTTTCATATAATATCTTATAGTTTTTGAAGCCCTTTCAGGTGCATTTGTCAATATATTGTTTTCTCAGCAAGTGCTGAGCCTCTACTATGTACAAAGCCTTGTGCTAAGTAGAATGAGAGTTATAAAGATGAACACATTGAGGGGCTTGCCAGATGCCTGCTCCAGTTCCTTGTTTTCTTTTCTAGGAATTCATTCAAAAGTGCCTGCAGTCTGAACCTGCTCGCAGACCAACAGCCAGAGAACTTCTGTTCCACCCAGCATTGTTTGAAGTGCCCTCGCTCAAACTCCTTGCTGCCCACTGCATTGTGGGACACCAACGTGAGTCCTCTTGGCCCTATGGGGAATAGTCTTCCAATCTGGAACCCTGTAACTATCACTGGCATGCTTGCTTTCCTCTTCTATTTCCAAAGGGATTCTTTTTTGTTGTTGTTGTTTTTGAGACAGAGTCTCACTCTGTCTCCCAGGCTGGAGTGCAATGGCTTGATCTCAGCTCATTGCAACTTCCAGCTCCTGGGGTCAAGCGATTCTTGTGCCTCAGCCTCCCGAATAGCTGGGATTACAGGCATGTGCCACCATGCCTGGCTAATTTCTGTACTTTTAGTAGAGATGGAGTTTCACCATGTTGGCCAGGCTGGTCTTGAACTCCTGGCGTCAAGTGATCTGTCCACCTCGGCTTCCCAAAGTGCTGGGATTACAGGCATGAGCCACTGCGCCAGGCCTCCAAAGGGATTCTTTACCCCTTTGCCTGCATGCCTTCTATGACATTTAATCTGACTATCCCTTCATAACATCCCACTCCATCCAGACATGATCCCAGAGAACGCTCTGGAGGAGATTACCAAAAACATGGATACCAGTGCTGTACTGGCTGAAATCCCTGCAGGACCAGGAAGAGAACCAGTTCAGACTTTGTGAGTAACTGAGAGGGTCTAAAAGGGGCAAATTGGTCACTACCACTCTTGAGGCTCTGTAAACTGCCCATTCTCTGGGAATGGTTGAATTTGCTATTTTGCTTGTTTCCTTCCTTCCATCTCCTTTCTCTTTTCTCCTCCAGGTACTCTCAGTCACCAGCTCTGGAATTAGATAAATTCCTTGAAGATGTCAGGTGAGAGCAGAGTGAGAAGGCAGGCTTTCTTGAGGAAGCAAGCAGGGTTGGGTATCCTAAGGCATTCACAGAGCCCATGTGACCTGTCTTCATCTTCCTCCAGGAATGGGATCTATCCTCTGACAGCCTTTGGACTGCCTCGGCCCCAGCAGCCACAGCAGGAGGAGGTGACATCACCTGTTGTGCCTCCCTCTGTCAAGACTCCGACACCTGAACCAGCTGAGGTGGAGACTCGCAAGGTGGGGGCTGTGTGGGTGTGGATTGTCTCCATGGCTGTGGTGGAAGGGAGAGAGAACATCTCAAATAAGGCTCTATTCTTTAGAGAAAATGCTCCCTAGCAGCCATGCCCTATGGGCTGGAAAGACGTCTAGGTATTGGGTTTTTTATGGACAGGTCTCTAGAGTGACCCTCTCTTCCTTCCCTAGGTGGTGCTGATGCAGTGCAACATTGAGTCGGTGGAGGAGGGGGTCAAACACCATGTAAGGCTCAGGGCTAGGGTTGCGCAGGGCTGGTGGCCAGAGGGTAGGGAAGAAGAGTCTCATTTTCTGACTGTCCTATTCTCCAGCTGACGCTTCTGCTGAAGCTGGAGGACAAACTGAACCGGCACCTGAGCTGTGACCTGATGCCAAGTGAGTCTCTGCTTTCCCTCAGAGGATGGAGAGTCTATGAGCCTTATCTTTTAGGGACATATTCAGGGGTGGGAAAGGTGACAAGGCAGTAACACATTGACTCACATAGAATGACTATCTTAGCCCCGAAAGCAGTGGGTGGATCTGACAGTTTAGCCCCGGTGGGGCTGTCTGAAGGGCCCCAGGTCCCTCAGTCCCATACTGTACTCACCCCCTCCTGTTTCTCTGTCAGATGAGAACATCCCCGAGTTGGCAGCTGAGCTGGTGCAGCTGGGCTTCATTAGTGAGGTGAGGTTTCTGCCTTCATCTGCCCTGGCTGCCCCCATGCCTTCTCTTCTCTCAGCCCCCATGTCACTGAGCTCTTCTTCCCCAGGCTGACCAAAGCCGGCTGACTTCTCTGCTAGAAGAGACCTTGAACAAGTTCAATTTTGCCAGGAACAGTACCCTCAACTCAGCCGCTGTCACCGTCTCCTCTTAGAGCTCACTCGAGCCAGGCCCTGATCTGCGCTGTGGCTGTCCCTGGACGTGCTGCAGCCCTCCTATCCCTTCCCCCCAGTCAGTATTACCCTGTGAAGCCCCTTCCTTCCTTTATTATTCAGGAGGGCTGGGGGGGCTCCCTGGTTCTGAGCATCATCCTCCCCCTCCCCTTTCTTCCTCCCCTCTGCACTTTGTTTACTTGTTTTGCACAGACGTGGGCCTGGGCCTTCTCAGCAGCCGCCTTCTAGTTGGGGGCTAGTCGCTGATCTGCCGGCTCCCGCCCAGCCTGTGTGGAAAGAAGGCCCACGGGCACTAGGGGAGCCGAATTCTACAATCCCGCTGGGGCGGCCGGGGCGGGAGAGAAAGGTGGTGCTGCAGTGGTGGCCCTGGGGGGCCATTCGATTCGCCTCAGTTGCTGCTGTAATAAAAGTCTACTTTTTGCTAAAAGCGTCGTGTGTTCGCGCCTTTCCCGCCAGGGGGAGCGGGCCCGGGGCGGAGGCGGGGCCCAGGTGGGAGGGGAACCCGGAACGGAGGCGGGGCCCAGGTTGGGGCGGGGCTGGGCCCAGGTAGAGCGGCCCAGCGGCCGGCGCGGCGGACGGGATGAGGCGCTGCAGTCTCTGCGCTTTCGGTAACTTCCGGGACCTGGCGTCTTGTCTCCTAACCTTGGGGCCACCCTTGGCCCGTCCTACTGCCCGCGGTTAACCCGCCAGGAGCCATCTCTCCCCACCCCGCTCGACTCAACCCTGCCCTCACCCGTGCTTTGCAGACGCCGCCCGG